CACCTCGTGGGCAGGCTCTTCTCACTCTCATGTGGGGACATTTGGGGGGGAGCAATGACACGGTGGGGGGACAGTGACACGGTTCTTGTCCTCCTCCTGTCCGCCGCGCCCAGGGATGGCCTCTCCCCCACCCTTCGGACTCCAACCCGCCCTGCCCTAGAGCCCCCCCTTGAAAACCAGGATGATGAGTCCCTTCCTGGCCTTCCCTGCTGTTTTTTCTGTTGTCATGGCCACGGGGGTGGGGTTGGTAGAGGATGCCACGGCCACAGCCACGCCCATGTGTTGGTGCACAAGGTTCTCCAGACAGCAGTGCACACACTCATGGACACACACACTCTCACATGCAGATACACACACACACAAAGACACTATCATGGACACACACAGACTCACAAACACACAGACATGCAGACAGGCACTACCGTAGACACACACAGACACACACAGAGACGTTATCGTGGACATGCAGACACAAATACACAGAAACACAGCCAGACACTATCAGACACACACACAAACTCACAGATACACAAGCACTATCATAGGCACACACAGAGACACTATCATGGACACAGAAACACACACAGACACACACCACACAGTCTCATAAAGACAGACACTATCATAGACACACACAAACACACAGACATTATCATAGACACATAAACACAGACACACGAAGACGAACACTATCATAGACACATACACAGAGACAGACACAGACACTATCATAGACACACACACACACTATCATGATACACACAGATATACACATAGACTCACACAGATAGATATCACTATCAAGGACACACAGGCGCAGACACACAAGCACGATCATGGACACACAGACACACAGTCACAGATTCACACACTCAGGGAAACACACACAGTCACAGGAACAAACACACACAGGCACGTGCAGAGATACACACAGACACAGATAAATGCTATCATAGACACCCACAGACACACAGATTCACACCTTTATGAACACACACAGACAAATGAATGGACACGCACAGACACACTCACACTCAATTCCGGACCCTCCCCAAACTTGAGCCACACACTGAGGCACCCCTGCACTCCACTTCTCCTGTGCTCCCGCCTGCCCTGTGCTCTGGGGGTAGGGACCCCTCCTCGGCTGCAACTCCCAGATCCCAATTCCTTCCTGCCTCCAGACGCCCCGTCACGGCCAGGTCCTCCCCAGCCTCTCCCAAGTGAAAGTCCACGGGCATCCACAGCTACCCTGGCTCATGCACCTGGGAGAGGGGCACTGACCCAGCCCTGGCCTGGGCCCACTGGGCCCCGGCACCTCTCACCCACGCTTCGGGGAGCTGATGTCATGACGAGTGAGGACAGAGGGACTTCAGGACAGGGATGGTGGGGATGCCAAAGGCCCGGCTGCTCACCCCAGGCTGCCTCCGCCCAGAGCAGTCTGCCTGGGCCCAGCATGAGGCCAGAGGGGCGCTCGCCTCTCCTCCAGGAGAGCCACGGATCTGAGCCAGACCTCACTCCAGGAGCCAGGATGACCACAGAGGTGGCCCACTGCCCCTGGAGGCAACCATGGCCACACCAGAAAAGTTCTGCTCCCCTCAGCCTGGGCCCTGCAGCCAGCCTCCACCTCACTGTGGCACTTGCCTTGGGGTTCTGCCACTCCCTCTCCTCGAACCCTCCCCCACACCCCATCTTTGACCCCATCTCTGTACAGACCGAGTGGGGACAGGTGTGAAAATGTGCCCGCCCACCCAGGCGTCCTGAGCTGCCAAGGCTGCAGGACACAGTGATACCTGGGCTATGCTCAGCTCAGCCTTCCTAAGTCCACCTCCCCGGTCCTCCTCCACCAGATGAGTCATGATATGCACAAGTTCCCAGGGTCTATTTTCAGCCAGGTCTCCCGGGACCCCCAGCTGGCCTGTGATCTGGCCACAGAAGGAGCCTGCTTGGCCCAATGGCTGCTCCTGCCCTGAGGCGAGGATGAGGGGTGCAGGGTGGGCGATGGGGGAAGGGTGGAGGAGGGAGCCACTGGCTTCCGGGACACAGGCTCCTCCAGGCTCAGCCTCACCTCCGACCCAGGTGCAGGGTTGCTCAGTTCCTTCCTCCCCACAAGCAGACAAGGGAGGAGGGACAGGGGCTCCCTCGGCCAGCCCTGCCCCCAGTGAGGTACACCGCTGCCTGGGATCTATAGTCCGGCCAGATGGGGTGCCCTTACCCTCCAACCCCCTTCCTGAGGTTGGGCCCAGTGCCCGGAGTCTCCGTATCCTGGAGCCAAAGCCCAGCCAGAACCACCTAAATTCCAGCCTCCCCAGCCCAGCAGCTGGAGCCCACCCAACCCCACCCGCTGCCGGCCAGGCCCTGGGAAAAA